TGAAACTTTTTTCCCACCCTAATGTATATACATTCATACATATATATAGTAATCTCATAATTTAACGTTGAATTGTTGAATTGCGTTGTGTATTTAATTTCATCAAGCGAAATTTATTGTATTGGCTTCTTCGCCATGATTTAAAATTTTAACAAATGTTTTTCCTTTTAGTAATAAATATTTTTCCAAACATACAGTATTCTTTTTACGGCTAATTGAATAAATATGACCGCTTAAAGTTAAATACTAGGTAAATATCTGATGGATTTTTCAATTCCCAGAAAAATGTGTCATTAGTCTGGGTCACCCTTAAATAGGGTTGCCTTAACTGACGTTAAGCCCGGCACGGTCAATTGACTTCACCTGTTCACCTGTTTTCAGTTATAAATAAATATAGATATTCATTTATTTATTTTTTCAATTAAATTTATAATGAATTATAAAATTTAATAGTTTAGTTACTGCGCTAACTGGAAAACGTAGTTCAAATTTTAAGTAGCTATTTACCGTGGATTTTTGGTAAATTTTTTTGTGGAAGATATTGCTCATTTTCTCTGTACAAAAAATTGTCGAACGCACTTTGTGTATGTAAGAAAATGCGCGAACAAAAAATTGCCAAAAATCAACGGTAAGTCCAAGCTACTCCGAACTTGCACTTTGTTATAAAAACTTAATGGATTACAAAGCTGCGTGCTCAAAAAAACTCTAAAACATCTGATTAAAAAGTTTAAAATTTTGATCATCATTTGTTTAAATTCGACGAATTTTTGTAAATGTTCTACAAAGTGTTGATTACATGTTTAGTAATATATATTCTCATAAAAAAATAAAAAAAATTTTAAACAAGAAAAAGTTGCCAAAACTTGCTAAAATGTCTTTTCCCTATTTACATTCTTGCTAACATATATTTTGATTGTGTGTTCATTTTTGCGAACATTTTTAAAGTTTTTTTCTCTTTGTTTTGTTTTAAATAAAATTGAAATTGAGAAATCTGGTCACCGTATGTATAATAATACATGCCAGATCTCTTAGTGAGGGATATATTTTGTAATTGTCTGATCTGGTTGGTTCCGACAAATGATTAATATATTATTAAGAGGTGTCCACGATCAGATATCTCTAGAACTGAGCGACTAGTTTGCGTTAAAACAGGCAGACAGAATGACATACATACCGACATACATACATACAGACGGTCATGTCTACATAGATCGACTCAGGTCATCAACATGATTATTTTGTCTTGTTTATTAAAAGCAACAAAATGTTTTTAACTTAAGTATTAACTTTTATATTTGGCCGAAAAAATAAATATTTTAAACTTTTAACTTTTATTTTTTACCGAAAAAATAAAATTCATGTTAGAACTTTTATATTTGACTAAAAAATAAAACTAGAATTTTAACTTTTAATTTTGACTAAAACATATCGGTGAAAAAATAACTATTATTTATTGACTGTGTATTTCTATATTAACGTGACTATATGTATCTTTCAGATGCTTTTTGTGAAAGTGAGTGCGTGTGTGTGTATGGAAGGAGAACCCGCGAACATTTGTGCGAATTTCACTTCACATTTCCAACGAAGTCCCATCTGAGTCACAAGCGTTAATCCAATCAGGAAACACAAATAAAAAAAACCAAACAGCGCCAGTTATAATTGAGAACAATGTTACGCACGAGTGTGTATAAGTATAAGTATAAATGACAATACATACATATTTATTCGTTGCACCACAAAATAATTGCCACCTATCATCAGAAATGTAAGTGGAAATTTTTTATTATTATTGTATTTTCAATAATCTTATTATATAACAAACCATAATGTGTAAGTTTCAAGTGGCTAAAAGTTGCCGTTGATGATTTTTTTTTTTTTTTGCTAAAGGTGTTGCGGATTTCTTCCATATACAAATAAATTGAGTTTATTCGTGATATGGAAGCCAATGCGACAAAAAAATTCTAAAAAATAAACGGTACTTCGTAGGCACTTCAAATTGGCACATTATCGGACTAAAATTGAAGGGGCTAAAAAACTGTGTACTCAAAAAAATTCTAACACTTCCGAGAAAAAAGTTTGAAATTTATGTGAAAATTTGTTGCACTTTTTTGTAGCTTTCTACAAATTATTAAGCTTGGGTTTGTATCGGGTTTGTCTGAGAATGAACTATATTTTAATTGAAAATTCTTAAAAATAAATAAATAAACATAAGTGGCACACAATATCACTTTGAAATGGCGTGCTATAGATATGACCGATACTGTATGTATGTATGTATGTATTTATGTCTCTATAAGTATTTATTCAGTCACTAGATAGCTCGTAGGTGTCCCGCAAAAATATTATATGAAGGTCATTTCGAATTTCATTAATTTATCACGCACTTAAGTTTGCAGAACTTTCGCCATTCTGCTTTGTTTTCTTTGTTTTTAAACGCTTGTACTAAAGAGAAAGATAAGCAAATTATAGTTTTTAATAAAATATGCAGACTCACATACTTGAAGAGACATAAATACATTTGTAATATATGCTGAAAAATTGATAACACTTAGACGTTTTTATTGAAGTTTTGTTCAGAAGTTAAGCGTTTATAATAGATAGTAGATGTACAGTGGCATATATAAAAATGTGATCACGACGAGTTAACTCTCATTCGGCAGTTTACTACAGGTTTTCAGTACAAAAATTCAAAGTTAACTGTCGAATTTGAAATAAAAAAAAAACTTCAGTGTGATATAGAATAACAATATGGGTACCAAATGAAAAATAAAATTCAGTTTAATTTTTTGGTGCATAAGGACGATTATGTATTGAAAATACCCTTTTAATTAATTTTATTTCTTTTAAGCTAATAAAGATAGAACTACGAAACTCGAGGATGTGGTCGAGTGGATATTAGTGCTTAACAAATATTTTTTTCAAAAATAATTATTGCAAAATTTCTAAGGTAATCAAGAATAAAATTTTAAAAGGACATTTTCAATACCTAATCTTCCTTCCGCATCAAAAAATTTAATCGGCTTTGATTCTCGTTATTTTGATACTCGTGCTGTTTCTCTACAATGCACTGATTTTTTTTAATAATTTCATGTATTAATAAAATTTTTTAAATTTAAAAGTCGTTTTAAAAAAATTGTGAGGTCAGAAAGAATAACTAAAAATGCAGCTTTAGTATATTTGGCCAAAAGGTTTGCAAATATATTAATTTTGTGTGTGTAAAATTTAAGCTCTTCAGTAGATATATTTTTTTGGGGCCTGTCGGTATTTTTTCATTATTTTATTTTTGCGGGGTTTTATACGTTTTGTTTAGGGATTTTTGTGAAGGACTTATTAAGGATTAAGGGTTATTCTGAACTTTTCCAGATTTGCCAATTTTTTTGCGGCCTCTTGCTTCATAATTTTTCCGTTTTTTAGATTGTTTTTTACCTTTCGAGATTTCCCGTGTTTTAAATGATTTGGGCTTCTTGGTACATATCTATTCGGCGTTTCTGATACATCTCACGACTTTCTACAGATTCTCTACGGGTTTATTGGAATCTTTTTGGAACTTTTCGAGTTATTTCGTGTTTTTATATGAATTTTTTTTGCTTCTAAATTCTTTGGTGATCTCAAGCTTTTTTCGCAAATCTTTATCATTTTTTATTCCATCCGGTTCCTTCGGGAATTTTAGAAACCTTGAAGAATCTTTTCTGGACTTTTGGAGAATTTAAAGGTTCGTTTTTGATTATTCGGGAAGCTTTGCGATTCTTATGGACTTTTCGGGGTTTCCTCTGAATTTTAACTTTTTTGTTTATGAATTCAAAAATCCGCGCGGATATTTAAAATATCCAAAAAATTTGACTTTAAGTTTCTCGCTCAAAATAATAAAATCCGATTTGTTACCAAAGCAATTTGTTTTACTTAAATGCCGCAAATATCCAAAAAAGTAGGGCCGTATATTTTTTCTTTGTAATTATATGTCAACATACATATTTCAAGCAGAAATACATAATAAGGGGAAAAAAGATTTTTTATTCGTCCGAATATTTTTAAGTGCTACTGTGTAGAATGAATGTATATGTTTATATAAATATACATCTATGAATTGCAGCATGTATATGTTTTCCGCAAAAAAATATGCGACTACATATACATACATAATGAGAGTAGTCCCAGATAAGTTTTCATGGGATGCACATGCGCATTAAGTAGTCATACCTAATCTGCTGTTTTTTTATAGTAGGTAAGCACCACCTTACAGGCAAACAAAACAAGTTCGCCGTACCCCCCTGAGTCTAAATTTTTATTTTTTTTGGAACTTGGGCGTTTTTAAATTTTTCGGTGATACATTCGGCAAAATTTTTTTTTTTTAGATCGTTCTTCTGAAAAAAAAATTACGTCCTTAGCAAAAGCTGAATGATTTGTTTGTGAGCTTTAATTTGCTTGACATTAGGATGGCACACTATGGTAAAAAGAACTGAGCTTTGGTGAGTAAGTACTAGAAGGGGTTAAAAAATTCTCTCCTCGCTACAAGAAGATACAAGTATTATGCTTTACGATGCGACTGTTATTGTCGAAGATATGACGAAACATGTAAAAGGCTACCTCTACGTTAGCAAAAAAAAATCCAATTTCCTTGCCTGGAGACAAGAACAAAAATGTATGTAAAGTATAAGATACGACTTTAAGTAGCAAAGTTATGACGAAAAAGGTAAAAAGGCGACCCCTACGTTCGAAAAAAAAAATCAAAGTTATCTTGCAAATATACTTTAGACTCAGTGGTGTACGGCGAACTGTTTTTCCGGTACGGTATTAAACGATTAAAAATAAAAAATAAAATTTTTATAAACCGAATATTTCTTTGTGCCACTGTAAGTAGTTACATAAAAATGTAGGACATGCCTTTCGTTAAATAAATACAATGCAAGCGATTCTTGTCAACTTAATGTTAGTTTAAACTTAAGATGATCGTAAAGCATTTAACCCATTGTCAGCCATGGCATGCATTTATGCTTACTTACCTAATTTACTTTAGTTACTGTTCCAGTACTGCGCAAATAATCCAAAAAAGACGGAAGCTTGTATCCGGTATCACTTGTTGGATACAGTTATAACCAGTAAAGGGTATAATAACAGCAAACACTAAGGAATGTATGTATGTTTATATAAAAACAAGTTTTTTTTTCTTTTGCGCAAATGTGCTTTGTTTTGCTTTTCGTTAAACTATTTTAAATTCCACACGCTTGGCCGTAAGACTTTGCTTTATTTTATTGATTTTGTTTTTATTTTTTAATATTCCAAACACGCACCAACCAAATTGAAAATATAACAAATTATGTATTATCGACAGTGCTTTTGTGGTTTTGGTTCTCAATATTATAATGACTTTGGTTTTCGTGTCACTACTGTTTGTTAGCTATAATTAACAAGATTAGCTTTGGCACTGAGCACAACACAATTTTTTTTTATACATATTTTTTCCATTCACTTAGTGTCACTAAACAAAGCGCGCTTTTCAGTATAGAAACTGGAAACACCGTTAAGCGACAGGTTCACTAGTTGCACGTTGACGGTTCACTTACAGATTTCCTTCTTCAATCGCTTAGTTTTGTTTTATTGCACTAAATAAAAAGTATTTTTTTTTAAGCTTCTGGTTTCATAATTAAATTGACACTTATTCACGTAAGTTTGTTTACTTCGCTATCCCCACACGTCTGCTCACGCCCGTTTCTACCGTACAACTTCTAAAAACATTCACACCTCAGGCGCTACGATCATTTCGCATTTCTTCGGCTCAGACCTGCTTAGTAGCCCTCGTATCTGTCTACACGTCTACGTTGTAGTGCGAGTGAGCCGCATTTATGTTTTTGTCAACAGCCCAGAAGACACCCAACGCCCGTCCGTTGGCTTCAGGTAAACAACTCAATTCTCTCACTCCAAGTAAACTCGATGAGTCAAACTGCTGGAGATGAGTGAGCGAGCGAATGGTGGCGGCATATGAGGCACTAAGAATTTCCAGCAAATGAATGACGCATAATGCGCTTTTGCATGACTAAACGGCAGCAAGGCAGTTGAGATTCCATAGACTCTAGAATCACATACAAAGTCACTCACTTACCACTCACTAGCGCGCTCGCTTAGCCAAGGCAGCAACTATGTACTTTGAGTGCCGGCTTTATCAGCAAAGCCGTCTAACTGCCTAAAGTTGCATGGCCACATTGAGTCACTCAAAACAGCTGTGCCAATAGTAAGAAAAAAACAATAGTGGTATGGCACACCGGTCAATCGGTCTGGTCGGACTACCTCTGCTACGTACTTACTAGTTATGCGCATATGTATGTACATATATAGACCATTGACTTGGTAAGAGTGCATATCGGTTGAGCCTCTGACGTATTGGTTGCTTTGCTCTGGTGCTATGCAGCGCTGTACTGCGTCTAGCGTTCAGCAGAGACGTGCAGCTGCTGTTTGGTGTTGTCAAACGTTAATGCGCTTCCAATCTTTGCCTCGCACGCGCTCTACAACCCTCATCCGAATCGCGATCTACTGACACATCGTACAGTGTGACATTTTGCCAATCTAGTACGTTAAAATTCAATTTTAGCCAAAGTTTTATAGATATCAACTACAAATTTGGCGTGATTTTTAAGAAGAACATAAGCTAGTGTCAAAGTACCCTGAACTATTCCAAAAAAGACTAGTTGAAGTAAATTTTATGCGGAGTAAAACCCAAAAATTTATATGACATACATAGGAATAATTTCAAGGAAATTTCATCACTATTTTGAAAAAAAAATTAAATTAAAAAATATTTTTTATACCAAAATGGTCGCCAAGATTTCGCTAAAAAATAAAAACCACCCCCTAAAATATTTGTTTCTAAAAAGCTGATACAATTAGCTAAAAAAAAACTCCATAGGTAGTTCTTCATTAGGGTTTTTCATTTAGGCGTGAGAATTTTATTCTAGAACTACTGCCGATCACCTTCTTAACCCTATAACTCCCCAGGGTTATATTTTAGATCCCACCTCTCATAAAATTTGTTGTTCGTTTAGACCTCTCCTATCACCTCCAGAAATTTTTAGCGAAAGTGTTAATCTTTAACACAAAACAAATTTTTGGCAAAAAAACGCGCACAACTTCAATTTGATCACTCAAAATTTTGTTATCGATGCAAGCTTGCAACAAATTTAGTTTTGCATGCTGTGCACGCGTTTAATAGCTGTTATCACGCCAATGACATTTCTTTTATGCTTATTTTCGTAACAATTGGGGTCTTTTCTAACAAAATTACAAAATATGATTGATTTTCAAGCAAATTTTTTTTTAATTTTGGCGTCCTAGATTGACTAAATATCACACTGTGCATCGTTGAGTTATTTTATGTTGCTAGTGTTGTTGTTGCCATAGTATATTTGCTCATAAGTGACTCGTTGCGCATAATGCACCTCATTGTTATTTTGTGTTACATATATTACATATTTATTATATGCCGACACATACACACATACACGCACATCCCATATCTCTGATGCATAAATTCCTTTTAGTCTATTGCAACTTGAATTCTCTTTCTACTAAATGTTCGTTTTTAATGTTGCTGGCCGCGCAGTAGCACCAAAACAAAACACAACACAACTGCCGCTTAAATGCTTGTTGAGTCGATGTTGAGTTTGCGCACGCGCTCTTCTCAAACATCCCCTTTTCAGGAACCCATCGTTGAATGACACCTTTGGCTGAGCGGTGGGTCGCGGCGCGCATTATGGATAGAGGCGCTTGTTCACATCTGCTGCCAACGGTAACGTTCACCAGATGCTCAACACACACACACACACCCTCGTGCACACTACGAAGTCACTATCAATAATTGTTCATACGAAATGATAGCCACCGGCGCGCATGCGTCATTACCATCGCTTTGTTGTGTATGCTTGCTGTGTTTGCAAGGGTGGATGAGCGGTATAGTGACAACGATGGGCGCTATGATCGAAGGGTGCAATTTATGTAGTATTTATAACGTTTATTTCGTTTTTGTGGTGACGCAGATGCATATGTGGTATTCGTAATCCAATTGATGCTGCCGCTGTGGCTCATCTCGACTGTTGGAAATGTGCGGTATGGTTGTTAGCCGATTAAAATTCTATTGTGAATGACAAATAACTGTAGAATTTGTAACACATATATATGCATTTTGTCCATAATTGTTATGCAAAAATATTCCCGGTAGAGGAATATCGCCTTCCATTAAGGCTTTCAAAGTGGAATTTTCCAATAGGATTTTCTATATCTGGAATTGAAATGCTGAGAAGATCGTACATATATATTTTCCAAAGCAACGTAAATCCTTAACATTGAAAATGCTCCAAAATTTCCCTTACTTCTAGCGGGGAAACTCTAATTGCGGATGGCCTATCAATTTAGCATTTTTAACAGATGGCAACCCTTTTCAAGAGTACCTATTTGCAAACTAAAATCTTCTTAAACGCTTTCGATTGACATTGGGGTGTACATGCTGCAATTAACTGACGAATTAAATTGAATTTGATTTTTCGAATGTGTGGCAACCCGCGTAAGTATAGTTTTTAAATAAAGCCTTTCCAAACCCGTTTCGATTGATACACATCTTTTAATAATTTTTTGAACTTATTAAATAATTTGACTTTAAACTTTTCAAACCGGTGGCAGCCCTCTTTAAATACCTCGAAAATAATCTAACCAGCCTATTCTGCTCGTTACCGATGATCTTGTAACTGGAAAATTTCATTACCAAAAAATGTTACCACTTCTTGTCACTGCGATTTTAGGTACCTTAGATTTTGGCAATTTTTGTACAAGGTTTGAAATTTTGACATACATGGTTCTTGTTAGACTACGAGCTACACTTTCATAAAAAAATTATTATTATTAAAGAATCGAAAAGGAAATAGCCAAGGAACGCTCAAATGTCTCTTCCCTACTTATATTTTCGAATATCTGTGTAGGTACATTAGAGTGGTCAAAAAAGGAAAATCGGAATTTTCATGCTCTCATCCTCTAGGATTGTTATATACCGAAAAAACATACCCCTGTTTTGTTTTTTTTTTAATAAAAAAATTTTCAAAAACAAGATTTTGGTAGAAGTGGTGTAGAATTTTTTTTAGAATCAATATTTTTCTTCTTCTGTTTTCGCTTCTGTTTAGGCAACTTTAAGTAGTAATACCTATTTTTTAAGAAAGCTGTAATTATTTTTAAAGGCCCCCCAAAAACCCCACAAAAAATGCGAAGGGGGACCCATAAAAATATTTGGTATTAAAATATGGTGAAATAAACAATTCACTACTATTCCCTGAAGTCTTCTGAAGAGAAACAGAGTTTTCCAACCAAAAAACATTGATTTTCAAGAATTCTATACAATTTCCACAAAAACTTGTTTTTCCCCCATATAAAATACATAGAAAACTTCGATCGCGCTGAGCGACCTCTAAATATATTTTTATTTCGTATTAAAAAAGAACAGGGGTATATTTTATCGATTTACAACAATCCTAGGGGGTGAGGGCATTAAAATTTCGATTTTACTTTTTCGCGTGCATTTTTGTACCAGTTTTTGAGAGCGGAAAAATTGGGGTAAATGTATGTATTTTTTTTTTAGCTATTTTTCTTGTTAACTTTGTGGCATTACCGGAAGGGGCTACCACGCAAAATGCACTTAAAACCTAGGGTTGATTGAGAAATCGTTTTGCTGAGCAGATAACTTCACGTTTCGGACATATCAAATTGCGCCCTAGATCGTGCTTTCTGGTGTCAAGTGAAGTCAAAAGTATTCGTGGCTTTCTAGCTACAAATTATTGGCATTATTCATAAAAAATAAAGTTGCTTTAAAATATGATTTTTTAATTGAAAAATATATGAAAGCATTAATTTTAAAGCTCTCTAAATCTACTTTTATGAATAAGACTCAATGGCTTTATAGTATATTGTACGTATTTTGAGAATTTAAAACTTAATCTCTAAGAAGTAAAGCCCATGCTTCGACAATTTTTAGCCAAAGGTTGTGTCCAATGTTGTAGTTTTTTTTTTTAATATAATATATAAATTCACGTATGTTTGAGTTATAGCAATCTAATATCTATTGACTTTCCTTTCATGCTGATTTAATTAAATATTAGCACTCACCTCAACTTGAAAACTAAATATATTCAAACCTTTTTTTGCTTCGTGTATGTATACATGTATGCATGCATATTTATTAGCGCCCATATAGTACAAATCATATCAGTTTCCTTTATTTACACCACCCGTTCATTTTTTATCATTCTTGTTTACTTAAGTAGTTAAAACTTTGGCACTGACCTAAAATCCGACCATTTCCCATTGGTTTCCCTATCCAAGTCAAGCGTTTTTGTTTTTAGCAGTTTTGTCCCAAGTTAATACAATTTCGATTGTGTTGCCTCATCACCCCTGTGGAATTTCGATTTAATGCACTTTTTTTTTTTCAAAAAGATAAGAAACACAGTTGAGTAACTTACACCTGTGTAAATAAATATAAAAAAAAAACTATAAATATGTTCGCATTAAGATAAGATAAATTTCGTTGAATTGTGCGTGCGGTGCATAAAAGCTTCGATAATTTTAATATTTGAGTGAATGTAGGAAATGGTTGAATTTACTATTTTAATATATTTATACATATCGAGCTTTTACTCTACCCCTCATAAAAACTGAAACTGATTTTTTTGTTTTTAGATTTGATAGTTGGGTTCGAACTTGGCAGCGATAGACTTAACACGCTCAAGTGATAAATAAATGATGGAAAGAGCAACTCGTTTGGAAATGGCCCGTGTATGTATGTGCGGGATATCAGCTTGAAATTAACTTTTTATGACACTAAACTCTTCTTGAAGTAAACATTCAAAAGAAGGAGTTAATTACAAACCGAAAATGTGGCAAACATTTAACTTCATTATTTCACAAAACTCATTCATTCTGTAAATATTGCCCAATACCAAACTTATGCAAATACCAGAAA